ACAGTGTGTCGGTGTTGTGGACAGAACAGTGTGTCGGTGTGTGGACAGTACAGTGTGCTGGTGTGTGGACAGAACAGTGTGTCGGTGTGTGGACAGAACAGTGTGTCGGTGTGTGGACAGTACAGTGTGTCGGTGTGTGGACAATACAGTGTGTCGGTGTGTGGACAGTCCAGTGTGTCGGTGTGTGGACATTACAGTGTGTCGGTGTGTGGACAGTCCAGTGTGTCGGTGTGTGGACAGTCCAGTGTGTTGGTGTGTGGACAGTACAGTGTGTTGGTGTGTGGACTGTGGATAGTACAGTGTGTCGGTGTGTGGACAGTACAGTGTGTCAGTGTGTGGACAGAACAGTGTGTCGGTGTGTGGACAGTACAGTGTGTCGGTGTTGTGGACGTTACAGTGTGTCGGTGGGTGGACATTACAGTGTGTCGGTGTTGTGGACATTACAGTGTGTCGGTGTGTGGACAGTACAGTGTGTCGGTGTGTGGACAGTACAGTGTGTCGGTGTGTGGACAGTACAGTGTGTCGGTGTTGTGGACGTTACAGTGTGTCGGTGGTGGACATTACAGTGTGTCGGTGTGTGGACAGTACAGTGTGTCGGTGTGTGGACAGTACAGTGTGTCGGTGTGTGGACAGAACAGTGTGTCGGTGTGTGGACAGTACAGTGTGTCGGTGTTGTGGACGTTACAGTGTGTCGGTGTTGTGGACAGTACAGTGTGTCGGTGTGTGGACAGTACAGTGTGTCGGTGTGTGGACATTACAGTGTGTCGGTGTGTGGACAGTCCAGTGTGTCGGTGTGTGGACAGTACAGTGTGCTGGTGTGTGGACAGTACAGTGTGTCGGTGTGTGGACAGTCCAGTGTGTCGGTGTGTGGACATTACAGTGTGTCGGTGTGTGGACAGTACAGTGTGTCGGTGTGTGGACAGTCCAGTGTGTCGGTGTGTGGACAGTACAGTGTGTTGGTGTGTGGACTGTGGATAGTACAGTGTGCTGGTGTGTGGACAGTACAGTGTGTCGGTGTGTGGACAGTCCAGTGTGTCGGTGTGTGGACATTACAGTGTGTCGGTGTGTGGACAGTACAGTGTGTCGGTGTGTGGACAGTACAGTGTGTCGGTGTGTGGACAGTACAGTGTGTTTGTGTGTGGACTGTGGATAGTACAGTATGTCGGTGTGTGGACAGTACAGTGTGTTGGTGTGTGGACTGTGGATAGTACAGTGTGCTGGTGTGTGGACAGTACAGTGTGTCGGTGTGTGGACAGTACAGTGTGTCGGTGTGTGGACATTACAGTGTGTCGGTGTGTGGACAGTACAGTGTGTCGGTGTGTGGACAGTCCAGTGTGTCGGTGTGTGGACAGTACAGTGTGTTGGTGTGTGGACTGTGGACAGTACAGTGTGTCAGTGTGTGGACAGAACAGTGTGCTGGTGTGTGGACAGTACAGTGTGCTGGTGTGTGGACAGTACAGTGTGTCAGTGTGTGGACAGTACAGTGTGTCGGTGTTGTGGACAGTACAGTGTGCTGGTGTTGTGGACGTTACAGTGTGTCGGTGTGTGGACAGTACAGTGTGTCGGTGTGTGGACAGTCCAGTGTGTCGGTGTTGTGGACGTCACAGTGTGTCGGTGTGTGGACGTCACAGTGTGTCAGTGTGTGGACAGTACAGTGTGTTGGTGTGTGGACATTACAGTGTGTCGGTGTTGTGGACAGTCCAGTGTGTCGGTGTTGTGGACGTTACAGTGTGTCGGTGGGTGGACATTACAGTGTGTCGGTGTTGTGGACAGTACAGTGTGTCAGTGTGTGGACAGAACAGTGTGTTGGTGTGTGGACAATACAGTGTGTCGGTGTGTGGACAGTACAGTGTGTCGGTGTGTGGACATTACAGTGTGTCGGTGTGTGGACAGTACAGTGTGTCGGTGTGTGGACATTACAGTGTGTCGGTGTGTGGACAGTACAGTGTGTCGGTGTGTGGACAGTACAGTGTGTCGGTGTGTGGACAGTACAGTGTGCTGGTGTGTGGACAGTACAGTGTGCTGGTGTGTGGACAGTACAGTGTGTCGGTGTGTGGACAGTACAGTGTGTCGGTGTGTTGACAGAACAGTGTGTTGGTGTGTGGACTGTGGACAGTACAGTGTGTCGGTGTGTGGACAGTACAGTGTGCTGGTGTGTGGACAGTACAGTGTGCTGGTGTGTGGACTGTGGACAGAACAGTGTGCTGGTGTGTGGACAGTACAGTGTGTTGGTGTGTGGACAGTACAGTGTGCTGGTGTGTGGACAGTACAGTGTGTCGGTGTGTGGACAGTACAGTGTGTTGGTGTGTGGACAGTACAGTGTGTCGGTGTGTGGACAGTACAGTGTGTTGGTGTGTGGACATTACAGTGTGTCGGTGTGTGGACAGTACAGTGTGTCGGTGTGTGGACATTACAGTGTGTCGGTGTGTGGACAGTACAGTGTGCTGGTGTGTGGACAGTACAGTGTGTTGGTGTGTTGACAGAACAGTGTGTTGGTGTGTGGACAGTACAGTGTGCTGGTGTGTGGACTGTGGACAGAACAGTGTGTTGGTGTGTGGACACTGAATGGAAGGGAACCATGAGGAGGGGCACGGGCACGCGGCAGCATCTGAGAACAGCTCCGTCCACCGCTCCTGTGGCCACTGTGCCGTGCCCTGGGGCTGGCCGGAGCGCTGCCCCTCTTTCTGTCCTGGGCCCCGGAGGAAAGCCGCCGTGAATGTGCTCCATGGGGAAGCGGGCAGTGTGACCTCAGCCACAGGATAGGCTCATCTCGAGGCAAAGGAATATGGAGACTTCTGCGTCCTCCCACACGTCCTTCAGACACTCCCACCTGAGGCGTTTCCGTCCGGGGACGGCACACTCAGAGTGACACACTTCTCACGCTCCGAACCTACAGCGTGGCAGGAAACCGTTTCCGCATGTGGCCCCCACGGGGGTGGCCGAGGCTGCCCTGCCCTTGCTCGGCCTTGCCTTCCGTCCTCTGTGACTTTGGAGTTCACTTCATCTTTCAGGAGGTGGTTCAACTGGGCGGTGTGAGCTCGTGAACAAATAAAAGGCGTAACTGGAAGGGGCACGCACTCCGCTCTTTCTGGGAGAACGCCAGGGCCTCCTATTTCCATCGACTCCTGTCCGAGTGCTGACCGACGGGGCGGCAGAGCAGGCTGGGCGAGGCCGAGAGCCCTGCCTCCTGCACTCCTCCTGCGCGGGGCCGTGAAGGCGGGCTGGTGGGACTCCCTGCCTGGAGGGGAAGCCCTGAGCCTTCACATCAGGCAGAGACCGGCCAGAGGGCGAGAGGCACCCCGGGGACCATCACCTCACACCTGCTCCGGAACACCTGACTGCTGTGGGCCTGCCTCTTAGCCCAGGGTGGTCCCTGCACTGCTGCTCACACCCCAGGACAATGTGCTCTGGCTCCGGCCTCCTCCCACCTGTGGGTGTGAACCCAGCTGGGCAAGCACCACCTGTCCTCGGTGAGGAGACAGTGCCCTCTAGTGGGCCCTGCGGGGAGCTGCTCCGGCCTGGTCGTGGCTCAGGCCAGACAACCCACTCCTGCCCTGAGCCTTGCACTGGGGTGTTTCTCCTTGAGAGGAAAAGTGGGGAGTAAGAACAGGGTCCTCTAATCTTGGGGGTTTCAGTAAAGGGTTGGCCCAGGGCCAGTGGTGGAAGGGTGGCTGTGACCTCAGGTGCATTGCTCCAGGGGTGTGACAATTTCTGTAGAAATCACTTAGGGCAGCCGCGGGGATTGGCCCTTTAAGGCGGCTGCAGGGAGGCCGCTGGCTGGGAGGGCGGGCGGCGCCGTCAGGGACCGGACCTGATCGCATGTGATGGCTGCGGATTAGGTAACAGCTCCGCCGTGGAATTGGATCTGGAGGGCTCATTTGAGTGCGGCAGGTGCCCGGGGATAAAGGGACCTTTTAAATAATCACTTTGTCTCCCATCGCCAGAGCCGGAGGCGTCGGTTCTGCTTAGGCCGGCGCCCTTCTCGTTTATTCCACATGGTGGGTTTGTTTAACGGCCGTTTTCCTCTCAGTCCCACACCCGGGAGCCGTGGCCCATGTGTGTGTGCGGGGTGGGAGCGGGCGTGTGGCAGCCCGGCCGCTGGAGCAGAATCGGCCACGGAACAGAGCGGCGGCGAAGGCTGTCTCTCATCCCTGCTGTTCCCATCGGTACCGTTTTTTTCTCTGAATTTTTCTACTGGAGCTCCAGCATGCATGGTGCCTCACATGTTTGTCACACCAATTTTTTATTGTCCACAGTTAGAAACCAATTATATTACATTTCAGTGGGTCCTGATTTCTTTTTGAAAAATATTTTCATAGGACTCAGGAAAGGATAGAATCTCAGTGAAGCACACGTCTACTGTGATTTTTAAATTCTCCCTCAACTAAACGGATCCTTCATGCTCTCGGGCATCACACCCTTGCCCATCGGACCCTCCTCAGCAGCATGGCTTCCTCCCAGGGTCCCTCCCCCGCCATAGACGTTCCCTCCTGGTTTTACTGAGAACCAGGCCGTTGTCCAGACCAAGAAGAACAGTGGTTAGGCCGGCCTGCCTCAGGGTGTGATGCAGGAGTGCACTTCCTGTGAACCTCTTTTCCGGCTGGTTCTCCTTGGGTTAGATACAGTCTTCCCCGGCACACCCCTCCCTGAACCAGCTCTAGCCTGTCCCCAATGTGTGGACACACTCGGGACTGCTGCCCCGCGGGCCTCAGTCACCCCCTCCTTTCCTGCCTCATCCAAGGCCTTCCCAAGTTTTTGCATTAGACATTCTTCCCAGGTTTCTGCTCACCAAAGACCTGGCTGCTGGCACCCTCGCTGGGTGCACTGAGCTGTGTGTCCGGTGCAGGGTGCCAGGGGTGAAGGAACCACCTGCTGACCAACTAGATCACTCCCTCCCTTAGTCCACCCTCTCCCCGCCCTTCGCCACCCGGGCTCTGGGGGTGCTTTCAGCTCTGGTTTTCCTGTTTGGTGCCCACTGACGCCCTCTCTGTCTCCCGCAGTTCTGAGCATCCGGGGCGCCCAGGAGGAGGAGCCCACAGACCCCCAGCTGATGCGCCTGGACAACATGCTGCTGGCGGAGGGCGTGGCGGGCCCCGAGAAGGGGGGTGGCTCGGCGGCGGCAGCGGCGGCTGCGGCGGCCTCCGGAGGGGCCGGCTCTGACAACTCGGTGGAGCACTCGGACTACAGAGCCAAGCTGTCCCAGATCAGACAGATCTACCACACGGAGCTGGAGAAGTACGAGCAGGTAATGCCACTGGCCTCCTCGCCCAGCCTCTGCAACCAGCCGCCTTCCTTCCCACCATGCAGGGCATCGCGGTGCCCTCTGCCCCTGAGCAGAGCAGGGCCTCTGGACCCTGGAGTCAGACAGACGTGGGTTCCAATCCTGCCCCCTGCAGTGGTGTGGGACCCGTGTGACCGTGTGTGTGTTGCCTGCAATGATGTGGGACCTGTGTGACCGTGTGTGTGTGTGTGTGTGTGTGTGTGTGTGTGTCCCCTGCAGTGGTGCGGGGCCTGTGTGACCGTGTGTGTGTGTGTGTCCCCTGCAGTGGTGTGGGGCTTGTATGACCATGTCTGTGCCTGTGTGTGGGAGTGAGTGTGTCCCCTGCAGTGGTCTGCAGGACCCAGCGTTCCACAGCTGCCCCGGTGGTGTTTGTGCAGAGCTGAGCACTTGGAGTCAGGCTGTTACAGGAAAGGGTGGGAGTGGCTGGGAAGGGGAGAGACATCATGAGGGTAAGAATTCTCATTCAGAGGCTCCTCCAGCTGAGACCCCCCTCTGCACACCGCAAGCTCACACACACACACACACACACACACACACTCACTCTCTCACACTCAAACCCAGTCACACACAATCACAATCTCACACACATGCATTCACTATCACACACTCACACTCAGTCACACACAAAATGTCATAGACTCAGACACACACTCATACACTCAATCACATACACAATCACAATCTCACACACATGCACAACTCACACTCAGTCTCTCACAGACACAGTCACACATGCTCACACACTCATGCACTCACACACAGGCATTCGCACACACTCACAGACACAGTTACTCATACACATTCACACTGGCTGACGCAGTGACACACTCACCCATCTCCATGGCGGCCGGAGCTGTGCCACGTCCAGGAGTCCCCACACCAGCCTTCCCTCAGCGATTGGCAGATGTTCTGACAGCACAGCGCACTTCCTCCCTGACTGTCAGGTCCTGGCTTCCTCTCCTTCCTCGGGTCCCCCAGGAAGAGGGAGCAGGAGCCACAAGGGAAAGTTCTGCCCTCCAGTCCACTGTGACTATCAGGGGCAGGCAGATGCAAACTTAACAGACACTTTACATTTTAAATAGAAATGGGCATTTAAAAAGTTAAAGTGAAGAAGTTTCATTGTGGTACTCAGACCTGCCGACCTTTGAAGTGGATGTCTGCTAAGACCCTTCGCTAATGAGATAAACTGGCGCTGGGCCCGGCCTGGGGAAGCAGATGGGTGGGAGGCTCGGCCGGGAAGCCAGCGGTCACCCTGCCTTCTGGGACAGAACCACGCCCTCCACGGGTTGGCTTGTGTGGACACTCCGGGCCCAGGGTGTGGTGGAGAGCTGGCTGACGCAGGAGCCAGTGGCAGTGGCCCTGAGCGATGAAAACCTGGGGAAGACACAGACATTTCTATGAAGGCTCCCGGCTCTGGCTGCTTCCTCCTTCCTTCCACCAGTCAGCTTGCCTCTGGCATAACTGCTGGCCTGGCGTCCAGGGAACTCACGCCCAGAACCCGGGCCCAGGAGAGCCTGGAGTGCATCCCCCGCCCCTCCCCGCGCCCCTGCACCATCCCTGCAGTGGATGTTAGATGGGAAGGTATTGGGAACTGGCTTTGTTCTCAGCACAGAACTGACTTCCTGATTTAACCCCATCACCCCTCTGTTACCTCAAATGAGAAAGCCACAGCTACTGTATTTCCTCTGGGGAATTCTGTTTGGTACAGTGAGGAAACGGAGGTCAAAGGTCAGGTGATATGCCTGGAGCTCAGCCCGCATGGGCAGGTTGCCCGTGGCTGGGCTATGACCACGAGGGGCCATCCCGCCCTCCGGGGCTCTGTGGACTGCTGGCTGGCCCCAGGCCTCAGCACTCCCCCGGCAGGTACCTGTGCCCCTGACAGAGGTGCTGGGTCCTGGGCGCTTCTGGGAGCCTGCCGCCCGGAGCCCGAGCTCACATGTGGTGGAATGGTCCCCGGCCATCACTCTCAAGAAGGACTAAGAAATCACCACCTGGCACGCAGGCATTTCCGGTGAGAGCCAACACCGCTCAGCACACTCTGGGTGCCTGATCTCGCATTCGGATTGTTGTGTTGTTTATTATAGCGAATAGCAGCTTGCGGGGAATATGCCAATGCTGTTGGCCTTCTCTGAGACAATCTTACTCATTTTTCTGTGACCATTCCTCCTGGCAGCTTTTGGAAAAATAGGACAGCTCAGCAGAAGAAATTGTGTTGGTACCTGGATGCAATGATCCAGTTGACTCTTTAATAGCTGCTTTTGTTGTGCGCGTTGTTTTGATTTTAGTTTGTTGCTAGTAGAGAACCAGGTGTAAGGAGCCCTGGGGGCTTCCCATAATGCCCCCCCTCCTCGCCCCACCCTCCATGCCCCGCCCCTGCAGCCACCACAGCGGCCTGCACCGCTCTGCCCAGGACCACTGGTCCAGCTGCTGCTGGAGACGCTCCTCAGACGCGAATGGTTCTGTTCATTACACGGGGTTGGTGCACGGTTTCAGCAGCCTCTCTGAGGGGAGGCCTGGGAGCTGGCTGTTCTCACAAAGCCGCCATGGCAGGAACCTGGGGGTTAGCCCCCCTGCTTTCTTCAGAAAACGGGGCTCCCGCGGCTTTGCAGGCTTCCAACTTCCGTAAGCAATGCTGCCGGGATGGGGATGGCCCGTCTCCACGGCTGACCTGGGCTGGTCACTCGCACCCCGATGAGACTGGCCTCCCCTCCGGAGGGGAGAGGTGGATGTAAGGGGAGAAAAGGAGAAGGTGGATGTAAGATGGATCCAGGGCCCGAGGCCAGACTGTCTCAGAGGCCTTTGCTCTCCCAGGAACAGCCTTTCAGAGACGACCAGCCTGGGGGCCGCTGCAGCTCCTGCTCCCGGAAGGGGCCGTCCTTGACCTCCAGCAGTGCCCTCCGTCCCAGAGACTGCCCACCTGTGTGGGTGGCACTGCTTGGCCTTTGTAACCCGGCTCTGGTTCTGAGGGGCAGCCCAGCACCAGGGCCGAGCCTGGGGGATGGGAAGGGGTGCAGGCAGTTGAAGTCTGGAGAGATCTGGGCCGGGATGTTCTGTCCATCTTCCCGGACTGGGAACGCCGCACGCTGCTGGCTGCACGTCCCAGCAGCTGGCCGGCAGCTGTGTGGCTGCCCCTGGGCAGTGGGTGGGGGCCCCCTGTCTGCCTGTGGCTGGGCGGGAGGCCCGGGAAAGGCAGTGGGAGTACTTTTATTCTCAGCAAAGAAGGCATTCATTGTGGCCACGCCCTGTAGCTTCACAGTGGGAGCCAGTGCCCTTGGCAATGCCTCCTCACTGGCCCCCCGAGTGGGGCTGTGGAAAGCCTTGGCTGCTCCCCCGAACCCACACCCCACCCCGAGCCTCCTGGAGTCCCACAGCTCACTGCCGGGTTACCACCTTTTCTGTACACGGAGTGGGGTGGTTTAGGGCAGAAGAAACTTATCAGAGCCTGTTTCTACGGCAGCATCGTAGTGGCGAGCAGAGGCCACCTGGACCCCATTGTCCATGGGTTTGTCCTCAGCAGGTGTCTGCAGAGTGGAGGAAGGCACCCAGGAGCCCTTTTGTTTAACCAGGAGGGAGTGTGAGGCCTGGAGCTCCCCGAGCTGTGATAATACACCGGTCCCTAAGGTCTCAGTCTTTGAAAAGACCGTGATACACGCTGAGATGGCCCCACAGGAATACAGTAGCTCAGTTCATGCTCCCTGCCTCCGAGGGGGGCGTTGTCAGCCGCGTCCCTCCTCAGGAAGACGAGGCAGAGACATGAAGTTAGTGACTCCCGAAGGCCCTCAGCCAAGGGAGCCAGAGGGACTCCTCCTCGGCCTCAGCTGTGTCCCAGCGACGGGCCCCATCCGCAGGGCACGGCTCAGGGGTGTGGGCACTGCCAGGCTCCCTAGAGGGTCAGGGATGATTGCGCCCACCCAAAGAACAGAGGAGCTCTGGGGGGCGACAGGGCTCACCCAAATCTGCAAGGAGCAGGTCAAGGCCAGCCCCCCAGACCCAGAGGATGCATCTCTGCGTAGCTGTTGGCAGCCACACTCAGAGGACCGCTCAGGGAGGGGCAGCAGCCGGGACTGTCGCTGCGTCACTGACCAACAGGAGGGCTTCGTGCTGCCGAAATGTGGCGACGCCTGTTGCCGATCACAAATGCATTTCGTGGTTAAGACTGGGCTGGACCTCTGGGCCTTGGGGTTCCACAGCAGCCTATTCCTTTTCCTTTCCACATTGCATTCGCATTGACGACAGTGCGTGAGCTCACCGGGAACAGGTGGCGAGGAGGGCTTTGCTGAGGGCCGAGCTGGGAACCTGACCGCAGGTGATGAGGACAGAAACCAGAAGAAAGGGCAGCAGTCAGAGGGGCGGCCAGGATGCCTGGGCCCGAGGGCACGCGGTCACCCTGCCTGGCTCTTGTCTGCAGGGCGAGCCCCCGAAACCTCCAAGCCCCACGGGGAGGCTGTGCCTGTGGCCCCCGCGTTGTGGACATGGGGCCCCCCAGAGGCTGGCGAGGAGGGACTCCCCGTAATGAAAGTGGGAGTGGAAATGGGTTGATGGAAAAGCTTAAAATCCCAGGACCCTACTCTTCTGTGGACGAGGCAGGATGTGCTTTTGTGACCCCAAACCCTCTGTGGCTGTGAACGCCGGTTGAAGGGTTGTGACCTGCATTTTACACCGAAATTATCTTCTTGTCTTTTTCAGTAGTAAAATCATGAGTAAAAAAAAGATCAAAACATGATTAAGAATTTTCTTCTCTCAAAGTCTATATGTGGCCCACGGTTAGCATCAGGGCTGATGGGTTTCCAGCCGCCACTTAGTCTGTGCCTCCAATTTGACAAAATTCCACCAACGCTCGGTGTGTCCCTGCACACACACCCCGGGGTGCCGCACAGCCCCCCCCCACCCCGCCCCTCACCTGCGTGTCCTGTCCCCCAGGCCTGCAACGAGTTCACCACCCACGTGATGAACCTGCTACGCGAGCAGAGCCGGACCAGGCCCATCTCCCCGAAGGAGATCGAACGGATGGTGAGCATCATCCACCGCAAGTTCAGCTCCATCCAGATGCAGCTCAAGCAGAGCACGTGCGAGGCCGTCATGATCCTGCGCTCCCGCTTCCTGGACGCGCGGTGAGTGGCCCTCAGCCTGGCCTCTGGGAGCGTCCGGGGGGCTGGGGTGGGGTCCTGCTCCAGGCCCCGGTTTCCCCAGGAGCCGGGAAGGGTGAGGGCCAGGGAGGCCCTGTGGCCAGAGCTGCAGGAAGCATGGGGCTGGCAGGGGGGCCGGTGGAGGGGGTGCATTCATTCCTGAGCAAGGACAACATGGCTAGGGTGACAGCAAAGGCAAGACTTTTTCCTACCACTGGGGACCTCCTCTTTCTAATTTATTGATTTGAGAGAGAGAGAGAGACATCGATTTGTTGTTGTACCCATTTTTGCATATTCGTACTTCATCCATTAGTTGATCCTGTATGTGCCCTGACCGGGGATGGAACCCACAGCCTTGGTGTGTAGGGGAGGATGCTCTCACCCCCTGAGCACCTGGCGGGCAGGGACCTGCTCTCTGGGCCCGTAAGGCAGTTCAGTTTGAGAGCTTGCATCCCCTCCGGCCCTGTGCAGGCCGAGCCACGTGCCACACTCCGGGCTGGGGCTAGGAGAACAGATGGTGAGACCTGGTCCCGGGGGCATAGGGAGTGCAAGCTGGTCCAAGGCCCAGACCTGGGCTAAGGCTCCATGCTTCCTTTGGGATGGCTGCTCAGGACCTCGTGTGAGTTCAGATCATTCAGTTGAAACCATGGGTGCAAAGGCCCTTTAAGACCGAACCTGAGAACAGGTGACAAGCCATGGGCTCTCAGCCCCTCCTCCCCACAGCAGAGGGTTTGGGCAGCGCTGGACTTCCCCGGTGCCCGTTCCCCGCCAAAGGTATGGGGATTGGGCCTGCTGGGAGGGAGGGGGGGGCACCGTGTGACCTCGCAGGCTCCCCTCGAGAGGCTGCCTTGCTGGCTGCACCTGGTCCCCAGGGGCCTCTCCCAGGAAGGCAGTCACCTTCCTTGGGTCATGTTCTGAAGATGAGCCCAGTCTCCGACTTTATTATTAATCAGATTGGGGAGGGGGTGGCGCAGTGAGGGTTTTTTCAGACTGGCTGCTCTCTGCATTTGCCTCCCCTGGAATCGTGTGTTTCTGCTCCATCCGTGGCCTTTGCCGCCACAGGCCGGGCATCCCCTCGCTCCGTGTTGTTCTGTGTGTTGTGGGCCCTGGAGTGTAGGGTGAGGGTGCCAGCCAGCAGCCTGCCGGCCGGCGGAACAGCCACCAGAGAGTAAAACGGAAGATGGCTTTTCCCGGCTGGGCGTGCCGATTAGTGAGGAGGGGGGAACCCCGAGGCAGGGCCTGCGCCCCCTCCTCCAAGGCCGCCAGCTCGGCTTCCCTCTCGCAGGCTGTTCCTCCCTGAGTGCAGCCGCCACTCTGCCATCCCCATGGCAACGCCCCTTGTTAAAACGCTGGAGTTGGTATTTATGTTGGCAGATACTGAAAAAAGAAAAGTTGGACCCAGACTGAGTTCTTTTCAAGAAAGGAGGCGGGGAGAAGGGGGCAGGCCGGTGCCCAGACTGTTCTTGCCACAGTCCTGCTGCATCCGGCCGCGGTCGGACGCCACGCCGGGGCCTCTGCTCCCAGGGCCTTCGGCCGACCGTTCCCTTCACCCGGGACCACCCTCCCAGGGGCTTCTTCCTGCGGGGTTGCGACCTCTGCGTCGTGGCCCCTGAGCCACGGTCCCAGCGAGCACAGCTGAGCAGCTGTCCTTGGTGCTTATTCTGGGGGAACGTGTGGTGTCAGTGGAAGAATGTAGCCCCCAACGCCGTCCCCGGCCAAGCCAGTGGCTGTCTGAGCGCAGACCCGGCGTGGGCGGCCTGCGGGCAGGCGTGGCCTCTTCCCGCAGCGGCCGCCCGGCTGCAGGCTCAGTGGAGAGTCCCCAGGGGACAGCGCCTCACTGTCCCTGCTCCTGGGGTCGCCCAGCTGTGACCCCGGTGCCGGCCGAGGCCGGACTCACCTGAGGCGCGGGGTCTCTTCCAAATAGCTCCACGGAGCGGAGTTCAGTTCCTCGACTCCGGGGCAGGTCCAGGCTCTGGGAGCCGCCCTCCCACAGGCAGCCACACAGCCATCGCAGGAGGGTCCTACCATGGCAGCGATGGCCCAGGGCCCCCTCCACGGACTCCCGTCCGAGGACCAGAGCCTGCGCTGCTCTCAGCACCTGCACCCCCACTCCCCACCTCTCCTCCCAGGAGCTGTGGGCCCGGGTTTCACAGGCTCCGTAGAATCCGCCTTCCCCCTCTTTCCAGGTTTTGTCCACGTAGTCATTGCCTTTTTCTCTGCCTTATGTTGGCTTAACTGAGCCGGAAAACAGTGTCTTAGGAATTCCACTCACCTGTTAATGCGCTCATCCATTCAGTGTTCGTCATTTCATGCCACGTCCCACGCCTTGTGCTGGGGAAGTGGGGGTGAAAGCGCTGTGGACAGGGAGCCAAATGCGAGGACCCGGAAGACTTAGCCATCAGCGCAGAGCCCGAACCTGCCTCCTGTTCTCCGCAGTTAAGGAGAGAGGACTTACAAGCCCTCTCATCAGCGGTCGCTGACCGGTGGTCCGTGAGTCTGAAAGGTTGGCACCCGTTGCCCTCAATGATCGTCTGGCAGCAATTTGACGTTTCCAATACCATTCTGCTGGCGAGAGCAGTCAGAACGTCACCGGTGCGGAGTGTCGTGTGCGCCTCACCGGTAGAGCTGCAGGAAGGGAGCGGGCCGGGCCTGGAGGAGAAGGACAGGGAGGCCGCCAGAAGGGCTGGTGGAGATGGGTGTGTTCGTGAGCGGAGTGCTTGCTCACAGCCGGAAGCTGAGCTAGCACTGGGACAGCAAAGATGAGCACGACCACGTGAGTCCAGCCTTCTGGAGCTCATCTCACGGCACAGAGGCTCTTAGACGCCATGCAGAACCACCCATGAATCCTGGGACACAACTGCCAACCCTGTGTGGCTGGAGGGGGCACCGTCCTGAGTCTCAGGGAAGCGTGAGGTCAGCGTGGCAGGAGCCGTGGACGGCAGTGCCCTGCGGCGGCCACGCAGTGCTGCCTGCGTGCTCTCTGGGCTGGCCCTCGGCCTCAGATGAGCATGGAACGGCCCTCCCCGTGGGGCTGCCGGCAGTTGGGAGGCACACGCCTGTGCGCAGGCTGGTGAGAAAGGCACGGCGGGTGGAAGGCAGAGTGTGGGAGCCAGCGTGTCTTTGGGAGCAGGGCGCATGTGGTGTGGCTGGGAGAAGTTGTGTAAGCGGGGCTAGGATTGGGGGGAATGGCACCAGGGACAGAATGGACCCCTGGAAAGCCAGAGCTGTGCCCTGTATCCAGGACCAGCAGGGCTCAGGCTCGGGTCAGGGTCAGGGGCAGAGTGAGGGGTAGTGTTAGGAGTAGGGGTAAGGTAGGGTTGGGGTAGGGGTAGAGTCAGGGGTTAGTGTTAGGGGTAGGGCTAGGGTTAGGATTTAGTTAGGGTTAGGGTGGAGTAGGGGTAGAGTTAGGGGTAGTGTTAGTGGTAGGGCTAGGTTAGAGTTGGGTTAGGGTTAGGGTTGGGTTAGAGTTGGGATAGGGTTAGGGTTAACATTATGGTTGGTGTAGGAGTAAAGTCAGGGGCAGTGTTAGTGTTGGGGTAGGGGTAGTGTTAGGGGTAGGGCTAGAGTTAGGGTTGTGTTAGAGTTAGGGTTGTGTTAGGGTTTGGTAGGGGTAGAGTCTGGGTAGGGCTAGCGGTAGTATTAGGATTAGGTTTGGGTAGGGGTAGCAACAGGAGTAGTGTTAGGTGTAGGGATGGTTAGGAGACAGCATGTATGGTGCTTAGCAAATAAGTCCACAATGCCTACGTGTCCCACTCTAAAATCTCTCAGATTCAAGGAGTTTTTTTTTTTCCAATATGCCGCATTTATCCTGGAATAATTCACCCATGTCCATATTTTTTTTAAATATATTTTATTGATTTTTTACAGAGAGTTAGAAGAGGGATAGAGAGTTAGAAACATCGATGAAAGAGAAACGTTGATCAGCTGCCTCCTGCACACCCCCTACTGGGGATGTGCCCACAACCAAGGTACATGCCCTTGACTGGTATTGAACCTAGGACCCTTCAGTCCGCAGGCCGATGCTCTATCCACTGAGCTGAACCGGTTTCGTTGATATTTCTTAAATTCAAAACCTAAAGACCAACTCTCTGAGGTTTGATTGGTCTGGTTTGCGAGCTGATAACACTTAAAGCCAAAGCGAGTAGCCGGTGTCTGCGGCCGAGCACCTGGCCCGGGAAGTGTGTCATTTCACTCGGTTTCTTAGCTCCTGACCAATCCTGGCCCCAGGGTCACTGGCCTGGGCTGACACCGCCGGGAAGGAGCAGAGCAGCCCACCAGGGGTGAGGCCCCGGGAGATCACCCCTCACTCACACGGCGAGGGGCTCCCCATCAGGGCAGCCCTCGGAGCACAGGGCCCCCACCCCATACAGCTGTCTTCTCCAGCCAAGAGGAAGCCAGAGGTGATGCCAGGACAAGCTTGGGAACGAGGTGCCGGCCCTCCCCCCAGATCCCGTCATGCGGGAGCTGCAGACGCTGCCTGCTTTGCAGTTGGGTTTCTAATTCAGTCTGCCCAGTTCTGAGGCGGGTGACCCAGAAACCCAGCGTGATTGGGAGAGTGGCTCGGTCTTGCCGGTGTCTGGGCAGATGTGGCTCATACCTGTGGACAGATGGTGCTCACCCGGTAAAATCAGGCACTTCATTGTGTTAATTAATCCATGCGGGACCCTGAAAACACAATATTAGCTGAATTTCCTGTCTAGCAAGGTGGTCCGCGCTTTCTGTTGGCTAAATTGGGAAATCCTATCCTGGCACAACCAGGGACGTTCTGGGCATCTTGTCCATGAGGAAAAGCTTTTTGATAGAAGCAAGAAAGGCAGATGAGCTCATTTCACCGTAAAGGAGCCCACACTCGGGGAGGGACGGCCATGCCTGCAGTGAGCCGTGTCCCCCCCCAAGGCCTTCTGGGAGGAGGCAGCGAAGGAATTCTCAGTTTGAATTATATAGTTCAGTTAGCACTTTTTTTAAGGGCAGAAAAACGCTTTTATTCAAAAAGTGGTCTTCCTCTCAGCCACCTGTGTGGCCGGAAAGAAGTCGGCCGCGTGCCCGCTGCCACTTAGGGCTGTTCTTTCCTGAGGTCCGCCTCGCTCCGGGGCCGGGAGGGCCAGCCCAGGGCCCTTCTGCGCGCCAGGCCCTCTCTGGGCCCAGTGGGTGTCTCACAGCGTGGGTGTGTGATGGAGTGGCAGCCAGCCCCTGGGCACAGCCGCCGGAAACCCTGTCTTCTCCCAGAGGGCCCTACTCTCCCTGTGCATGTGCGTTTGATGTGAACTCCTTTTTGTGTCTCCTCTGCTCCCTATCTCCCGTGCAGGCGGAAGAGACGGAATTTCAACAAGCAGGCGACGGAAATCCTGAATGAGTATTTCTATTCCCATCTCAGCAACCCTTACCCCAGTGAGGAAGCCAAAGAGGAGCTGGCCAAGAAGTGCGGCATCACCGTGTCCCAGGTGAGGCCTCAGCCTCGGGGCCGTGGGCTCTGGCAGCGGAACCTAAGGCAGCGGGGTCAGCCCGCTCTGTGTGAACAGGGAGCTTCGGCCGGACCTGGGGACTGGCCAGGGACCATCTGGAACCAAAGACCCGGTGGAGGGCTGTGGCACGGGGCTCGGTTCCTCCCACTGACAGCTCGCTGCCTCCACACGGAGGTGCTTACTTGACTTTGGAAAGCTCTCCTGTAGTTTCTCAGCCACAGGCCTTTCCTCGGCCCATTTCCTGCCCCACCCAGGACCTCCGTGAGCCAGGGGACGAACTTCCAAGTGAAAAGGACAGGCGCGCCTTCTCTCTGTGCTCAGGGACGAAGGTGTGGGGAATTATGCCCCGTGTGCACTGGAGTGGTCGCACACGCCTCCGAGTGCCCCTCCGCGGGAGCGATGCCGTGACCAGTGTCCATTGTCAGGGCAAGATGCAGGGTTTGGGATGTCCCCAGGCCAGAGTCTTCATTCCTGTGAGAAGGAGAGGAGGCAATATTCACACGTAAGAGGGTCCGTGCGAACTTTGGCTCAATCGGAACCTCAGAATCCACCCCCGGTCTCTAGCTGGGACCAGGAGGGAGTCTGAAATCTACCGCAGAAAGACTTCCTCTGCATTATGTCACGTGAAGAGCGGGTGGGCAGGGAACTGACGTAGTGGGGAGTTCGCTGGACGGCTGCCAGGCACCTGGGACAAGCGGTGCCGCTGCATTGCCAGAACCGGTCCTGGCTCGGCGCTCCCTGCGGCGCACTCCCATCAGCCTGCGGTTAGCCCGGCGGAATGAGGCCTGGCCAGAGCACAAGCTCCCCGGGGTCCCGATGGTGAGCTCGCCAGGGCTCCCGCCCCCACGCTGTGTGACCCTGCAGCAGCGTTAGCAGCCCCCCTCCAACTCTTTTCCTGCTCCCCTTCCTTAGGCACTGACTGACCCAGGAAGGTCATCTCCAGTCCTGAACGCAGGAAGCACCTTCCAGGGGCCAGGGCGGGGTCCTCTGTCTGCGTCTCCAGCCTTCTCCTCTGCACCTGGACCTTCGGTCCACGGGGGCGAAGTGGCTTTTCGGTGTTTGCTGGGTGTTTGGCAGGCGCCAGCTGTGGACCATGTCCCTAAGACCCAGCCAGGGCCTGCTCTCTCCCTCCCTCCCTCCGTCCCTCCCTCCGTCCTTTCTTCATTAAAATTGCCCCTCCCAATCCTGAATCAAAAATCTCAGGGGCAGCGGGGAGGCTGGGAGTCTGTTCCAGCAGCTCTCCCTGCACTTGGCTTGGCGAGCACTGTTCTGCCGAGTGACCTCGTCCACCTTCAGGGCCGCAGACATACCGGCTCATGGGGATGCTCCCTGTGGTGTACACAGGCTCTGGAGGCATCACAGGGTCACATGCCCTCGGAGTCTCTCCAGAGGAGCGAGGGCTCCTCCTTCCTGGGATGGGGCTTGTCGGCCCCTCAGCCATGATGCTGAGCAGTGAGGTCATTAGTGCGACACGGGTTCTATATGTCGCCCAGGGCGTGCGACAGCCCCTGGTGGGTGACCAGGCATTCCGGACGGACCTGGCACCTTCCCTCCCCTCAGCTATTCCCTCCTGGAAGGGAACTGTCCCTAACACGTCCCCCTGCACCTCTTTCTTCTCCTGTTTCTCACTTGGAGCTGATTTCATCATCCCTCAGGCATGTCCTTTCTTCCTCAGAAGCCCCCCAAACACCGTCCTCCCCCCGTTTCTCAGCTCACCCAGGCCCTCCCAAGTCTGTGTGTTTATTGCCCTGTCCCCCCAGCAGGCAAAGGCAGCCAGGGTACATTGGTGCACATGGTCAGTGGGGCACTGCCAGGGAGAACGGGTCAGGGCTGGACTGCACAGCATTGGTGAGTGGCCGCTGTGCCCACTTCTGGCTGACCTCTGTTTTCCTGTTGCACAAGCACTTACACCACACAGGGCGCCTTCTCATTGGCTGTCTCTCAGGGCAAGATGCAGGATATGGGATGTTCACAGGCCCAAGTCTTCAGCATTCGTGTGAGGAGAGGAGGCAATATTCACATGTAAGAGGGCCCCTGCAATGGCACGGTTTGATTTTCGCAGCAAAGCCTTGCCGTGTCTGCTGCGTCACACGCTGCGTAGAGCTATGAGGGTCAGCGTGTGAGACTGTGAATCTTGTTCATGGATCCCAAAGTCGGTGTCACTTGCAAGAATTCCCTTTGTCTGCCTTCTGCGTAGACGCTGTGTGTGCAGAGGCGCAGGGGCCGCCGCCGCCCTCGCCAGGCTCAGAGTCTGCTTACAGTTATGTAAGCCCGCATTTTGGTGCTAAGTCACACCTGGAATCTGGGGCATGCACCTCCCTAGGCCGGGACTGGGGGAGGCTCACGGGCGCCGCCCCACTTGTGCCTGGCAGAGGCCGGGACAGCTGCTGTGAGCCTCGCCAAGGGCCTGACTTCACAGCAAACGGAAACCAGGTTTATTCTGAGTTGGCTTGCACACGGAAGCCTGGAGCCCCAGTTTCTCCCAGGTCAGGAGGGCGGGCCTGCGCATACAGCGGAGCCTGTGGGCCTGACCCATGGATACTGATGCCGTCTTAGCACCACGGCTGAGTGTCTAGTCCACGTGAAAGGTACCTAACCCCGAAAAGTCTGCTTTTAACCCATCATGGTTGACCTAGGTTTACATGGATATTGAAAGGTCAGTGTATGTTTATTGCCCAAAGTCAGTGTTAGCATTGCTATGACAAAAAAAATTCTTGCAAATACTGCACTCATTGTTTTTTATTTTATTTTTATTTTTTAAACATATGTTTTTATTTGATTTGAGAGAGAGAAAGAAACATTGATGAGAGAATCATTGATCAGTTGCTGGGGATGGAGCCCAAAACCCAGGCATGTGCCCTAAACAGGAATCCAACATCTCAGGGCCCAGAACAACGTTCAGCCAACTGGGCCACACCAGCCAGGGCCAAAACTAACTTAATTTTTAAAAGCATTTTGTTTAGTGTCACACTTAACAGGTCAGCAAGTTCCCGACGCTTGCTGGCCTGAGAGGGTCCTGGCTTAAAGAGTGGCTCCTCCTGGCTGTGCGAATTGTGTTGTGTGAATTGTGTTGTGTGAATTGTGTTATGTGAATTGTGTTGTGCGAATTGTGTTGTGCGAATTGTGTTGTGCGAATTGTGTTGTGTGAATTGTGTTGTGTGAACTGTGTTGTGTGAATTGTGTTGTGTGAATTGTGTTGGGTTCAGCGAGAGTCTCGTGTCTTATCATTGCTGCTCTCAAGCTCTTATTTCAGACCTTTTCCTCAAGGTTGTGAAATCGTAACTGGAGGACCCCCTCCCCATACCCACGTTTTCGGCCTCCCCTTCCCCCACAATGGCCCTGCTGTGGAGCAGGAAATGCTAATCTTCTCTCTTCTCTCACACGCTCTAGGTATCAAACTGGTTTGGGAATAAGCGAATCCGGTACAAGAAGAACATAGGTAAATTTCAAGAGGAAGCCAATATTTATGCTGCCAAAACGGCTGTCACTGCCACCAATGTGTCAGCCCACGGAAGCCAGGCTAACTCACCCTCAACTCCCAACTCGGCCGGTTAGTTTCCTCTTTGCTCTGGGGTGACTGGGCTCGTGTTGTGCGTGCTCTTTCTGCACCGGGTTTTCCCCAAGCCTCCCGGCTTCTCCCTCTGTGAATCTGCGTGTCCCTTTGGCTATCCGTGCCCTGAGGGTTCCCTTTCATTTCCAAAGCGGGACGTGTCCGCTGCTCACCCGAAGGGCCTGCCTGGCGGTGAGCACGGGTGTGTCTGTTTAAGGTAAATCGGTTGGTTTTGACGAGGTGGCGCCACGTTCCCCCTTCAGAGATGCCCGAGGAAGCTCAATGGCTGGTGGGTACGTGGACATGGTCCTGGGTCCTAGCACGTGGTCTGTTTCATGGAATCCAATGCTTGTCCGACTGCTGCATCACATACAAGCCGGCTCACCTATGAGCCGGGTTCCACACGTGAATATTCACTCTTCCAGCTAACATCTTGTGGGTGTTCAGTTCTGCAAAGTCAGACTGTGATATCTATATTTCTGAAAGTTGTTATTCTTTACCATTTTATTTTATTGCGTTTTTATGTGTAAAGTACACAAGGAAATTGCCAGTCATTAATTCAGATGATTCCAATTTCGGTCTTCACACTCAGTCCTGTGCTGTGTTCCTGGTTTTATGCACCGAAACTCTGATTCCAGAGTGTGGGCTCACACCTTACGTGTTGGTATGTGCTTTATCCGAGCCTGAGCTTCCTGCCCCTGTGGACCATCATAGTCACAATGCATAAACTGTAACCTCAGTGTGTGTGTGCTGTGGAGGATATGTTGGTGCTTTTTTCTAAGGGAAAAACCAGAAATATTTCCTAATGAAATGAGTTTGACCTCAGATTATGGCAGTTTACCCCCTGGCTGGGGATGCACGTGTGAGAAAATCGATGCCTCCGTCGTAAAAAGTCGCCCATTTAAATATGTGAGCTCTTAATGCTGAAAACCTAACGCCCAGCCTTTCTGGGGCCCGTAGGACCTCTGACCCAAAGCTTGTTTGTCCACGAAGGCCCCTCCCCCCTGGACGGTTGTTCTTGGAGACACGAGGCCCTGGACGCACAGACCTATTGCCAGCAGGTGCTCCGCGTCTCGGGTGGCGCCATCACGGCCTCCCTTTCTTTAAACGAAACCGCATGGAGGGCTGGGCTCTGCGGACTGGCGCGGTGAGGCGCAGCGTCTGGCCAGCTGTTCCTCCCGCACCCAGGACGGGAGCGGAGCGGAGGTGCGTGCTGTGGAGGTTCCGTGTGTCTCCTTCTCCTTGTGTGACTGACCGAGGATTGAAGCCAGCAGATCAAGAACAAAGCTTCCTCCTGCCCGTTGGCCGTGATGGAGCGTGTCAGATCCAGCGCCCGGTGGGCGTGCCCCGCCAGCAGGCGGTTCCTTGGCCTCTTTGGGAGAAGGACAGTTTGTCAGCAAAGCGCACTCCACTCCACACTCTGCAAAGGTTGTTTATAACTCAAAGCAGAGGGGAAACGGCTCTCCTCTCCCATAGATCTGCCCGCAGATGGCGGTGTGATTTATGGCGCGTCCTCGGACGGCCCTGTGGACTCCCCTCCTCAGGACTCAGTGACTCTCCTTCCTGACGGAGTGGGGAGCAGGCAGCACTCACCCTGCCTGGCGGGGGGCCTCGGCCTCTGGCAATGTCACTGTGATGACAGTTTCCTGGCGTTTTCTGGTGGCTTCAATGTCATGTGACTATTCGGACACAAAGTAAGTGATTCCGGGAGATCTGAGCCGCACCCTCCAGGTGTCTGACATCATTGGGAAGAACACGTGGAGGAACCCTGCGTGGCTTTCTCTGAAGCGGAGAGGACGGAATGTGCCGTGTGGGCAGCAGCGGGCCCTCTAAAGGCACACGCAGGCGGCTCGTCTGTGCTCTCCGGCTCCTGCTCGGCCCACGTCGCTGCCAAGAGCCAGGGAGAAGCTGAAGAGGCCAAGCGGTCACAGCAGGGGTTCCTGATGCTGCCGTTAGCTCTTTGTTCGATAAGCCTAACGCAGACACGATGGTGAACGCAGACGGCAGGTTTAGACCAAAGGAAATCCGGACATGCGTGGGGCTGGTTGGAAGCCTCTTGCTCAGGAGCCTTGGAGCCTCTGGTCCCTGTCAAGGTGGGAGTTGTGTCGGAGGTTTGCTCGCTGTAATTGCATTCCTCCTGCAAGGAGGACACTGGGCCAGTAGCTCCCCGAGGCCTCCCTCCAGAGCTGTTCTGCCTCCTGCTATTCAGCCACTTCTGAGTGTCCCTGCTGCTGAGAGATGCAGGCCTGCTTCCTTAAGCTTATTTCACAAAGCCACTTAACACGGGCACCTGTGGTGATAGTGAGCATCAGAGATAGTGAGCGTGCCTGGCAAATGCCACATTTTACACCAGCAGAGCTGGCAAATGGATGCAGTGGAAGAATAGAAGGAAAAAAGAAAATTTAAAAAAAAAAAGAAAAAAGAATGCAAAAATGGGGCCCACTGAAGTAATAATTACAACCCTTTGTCCCGAAAGTTCCTCTGGGAAGACCTGAGGGACAGTCCCCACGGCTCTGGATGCTGAGATTACAGGAAGAGCTGACCTCAGACAGAGGGAGGGCCCTTTGAGGAGGTGGGATTATCTCTTGGGAGGTTGGAGGAGTCTCCGCCTCCAGGAAAGAAGACAGGGGCTGTGCTTTGCCGGGGCCACGTGGCAGCACAGACATCAGCCTGGGATCCGGGCCTGTGACCAGGAAGCACGCCCAGGTGTCAGCCTTCCGCTCTGCTGCTCAGAGGTGCGCGGGCAGCCGAGGCCCCGCCGTGGCAGGTCTGCCCCTGGCCCCGTTTAGTCGGTGGGAGCCCTGGTTCATGTTTGCATTCCACCGGAAATAGGAGGCCTGGGGCTTTGGGGGGGAGAGGGGGAAGATTGTCATGTGAAAGCCCCGACCCCCGCTTCCTGAGAGGAGATCAGTGCAGTCCCACGGCCAGAGAGAAAGCCACGGCAGGGAGGGTGACTGGCCGGCCAGGCAGCTCTGGAACCTGTCCTTGGTGTCCAAAGCCCAGTGGAAGGCTCCCCTGGCTGAGTCACTCTTCCTGTGTGCCTCCCCTTCCGTCTCAGTGCAGAAGGACAGCACAGCCTCTCGGGATTGGGGCTCAGAACCTTGACCCACACCTGCCTCGGGCTCCCAACACCTGCTGGGGGCTCCCCGCAGCCAGACGACGTTTCCCCTTGCTGCTTTGCCCTGAGCGGGAAGTAGCAGGGCTTTCGAATTGGGCGGAGGAGGGGTTCTGGAGAAGAGAGAGGCCGGCCTGGACACAGCCTTCTGAGCCCCGCCGGCAGGGCCTGGCAGGCGGCCCTCCTCTGTCTGCAGACGGAGCCCATCTCCCTCCGCTGCCTCGCACAGACCAGCGCAGGGACACCAGGGCTCCTCCCCACGCATCCTGTCGCCGCGCTCAGCGGGAGCTCGCGTCCGGGACGCGGGGACTGTCCGCAGACACTTGGCACTGCCCCTTTAGGGAGGGCGGCCGTCCCGCAGTGCCAGTCCGGGCGCATGCCACAGGAAGGACGGGGCGAGAGGCCAGCCGTGCCGGGTCTGCAACCCCGCGCAGCACTGCAGCTTCGTCATCGGCATCCTCTTGGGGTGATGAAGATGGCCGGCGTTCTTTTTCCTGTACAACCTATGTGCCCTAGAGACTAGACGTGCAGTGCCGGGGACCCCGCACCCACACGTCTGCCTGTGCCAACGGGTGGGCCCACGGGGACCCGCTCCCTCTCGGTCTCCTTCAGGCAGTGTAGCTCCACCCCAGCCCGGAATGTCGGGGTGTTAGCTGGAACCCACTCCTTCCCCAGTGCAGGCTGAGCCTGTGGGCGGGCCAGCACGTAGCGCAGCGTGTTTGACTAATAGGCCGTGATGTGACCACCGATCACTGGGAAGGCCCCGGTGACTGAGCAAGCAATGCTCCTGTGGGAATGAGGCCATCGCACCACAGAGCCGCCCCCACAGGCCGTGTCCCCCCACTACCTCCCCGGCTCCAGCGCAGGAGGGAGAACCTGTCTTCTGTTACTTAGATGTCGGTGTGCCCTGCCATGAGGTCAGTGGCCTCCTCCAGAGCCTCATGAGTCAGGAGCCCTGGTTGTGTGACATCCGTGCAGAGGGCAGCCCCACACACGGGAGCCCCAGTCACTGAGTGCTGCCCTGCGTGTGTCCTCGCTGTGTCCGTGCGGCCCAGACACATTCCCATGACTCTGTGCTCATGTGTTTCTGAAACGGTGTGCTGATGGCAGCGATTGCCTTGTACCTGGCACATCCCAGGCCTCCGTGGTCATGGATGCCACATTCCCTGGCACTGGGTACCCCTTGGGTTCTCTTGGTTCTCGGTGTGTGTGCCACCAGCCAACATCTGGAGGGTGGTGTTCCTGCTATTGGGCTGGGAAGGGTCGAGCTCCTGCACTCAGACTGTGCGCTCCCGGGAAAGCCGAGCCACTCCGGCTAGTTCTCAGAGCAGCCGGTTCTGGGTGCTGATGGCCTTGGCATGGGAGTGCGTGTTGTCATACTTACGGCAAAGTGGCTTTTACTACTTAGCTTCTATTTCTGGGATTAAAAGGAAGATTTAAAAGGGAAATAACTAGGGTATGGAGGCCTGGGATTGACAGGACACTGAGAGGCTGACTGGGGTTGGGGGAGGGGGGTGCCCTGGGCATCACCGCAGCTGAGAGGCCAGAGCTGGAACTACGCAGACCTTGGGCCTGTGTTGCCTATTTTGCCGAAGACCCGTCTTTTCTAATTTCTTTGGGATGAGTCACACAGAGAAACATGCCAGACGACAGGATGTGTGCAGGGCTGTGGCAAGGCCAGAGTCTCTGGGCAGTGTCGGGGCACCCTCCCCAAAGAAGGAACGCCCTATTTTCCACCAGAAGGGAGCGAGCATGAGCTCAGTTCATGCAGCAAAATATCTGGGTCCTTGCATGTCAAGGGACGTCCCAGAGAACCCAGAAAGACGCGGTTTCCTGTCTCAAGGTCGTGCCCAGGCGAGCGTGCTCAGCTCAGTCCTCGGTTCCTTTCGGGGCTATTGAAGCGTGAGGATAGGACGGCCAGTTAGCATAGGATCCTTCCGTGGAGAAAACCGGAGCCCGTCCCGGTGGCCGAGCCCTCGGGTAGGAGGCAGGCCGCTCCTGCAGAGCCAGGAAGGCGCCCGAGCTCAGGCAGGAATCCTTGTTGGGCGACTCCACACGGAGAGCACGCGGCGAGCAGCCAGAGCCTCTGGCTGGAAAGCACAGAGTGGAAGGACCTGGTCCCTGCGTCTCCTCTTCCAGGCTAACGTCATGACTTAACCAAACCTTGCACGTCGGGCTTCCTTTCCTAATGCGCTGAGCTGCACGCTGACTCCAGAATAATCATGAGCTTCCCACACCCCGTGTTCAGGTTGTGGGGGTGGCTTTTCCCAGGGGAGCCAGGTGGGGCCAAGATGGACCTCAGGGCAAGCGCTGGGGAAGGGCTCCATCTCAGGCAGATGCTCTCCTGCCCCGCGGTGGGCCCTGGGCTGTTATCACTGTTGTTATCAGCACTCCATACTCAAGCATGCTCACGACCCTGCTTCCTCTTCCTCCATAGCGGCAGGTAGCAGGGAGGGTAGCTCATTCTCACACGTTTCCCCACCCCAGAGGCTTTCCGGGCTGTTTGCCACCCAACAAGGAACTTCACCTGCTTTCTAGAAATCAGGAATGCCAGCGGAATCAGACCTGGGTCCTGCCCGCGAGGGCACTGCTTCATGCACCCCTCCCCGAGGGCCCAGCGCTGGCAGGTGGGCCCACAGCAGCGTATTTGGATTCAGCTGCTCAGCTCGTGCACTCCAGGCGGGGGCGGATGTGGCGAGAACCAGCCCACGTTCTCCCGCCTGCGGTCCCCTGGCCAACCCTAGACCCCAGAGGTGGGAAGGGAGGCCTTGGGCCTGGACACTGCCCCGCCCCCCCTAGATGAGCAGACAGGAATGCTCGGCCCCTCCCCCAGCGGGGAGCTGCTGCGAGGCTCCCTGCACCGAGGATCCCTGCACCTCTGTCTGCTCTGTCCTTCATGCTACTAACCGGGGGGAGGGGCGTGGGTGCAGTTTCGTTTGGGGGTTGCTTTGCATGTCGCTCTTCCTCTTGCTGTCAGTTGCGGGCGGAGCCTTTTCCTCTCTGTGATTCAGGTGCCTCATCCTTTCCTTTCCAGGTTCTTCCAGCTCTTTTAACATGTCAAACTCTGGAGATTTGTTCATGAGCGTGCAGTCACTCAATGGGGATTCTTACCAAGGGGCCCAGGTTGGAGCCAACGTGCAGTCACAGGTAGGGACCAGCCACTGTGCCGGCAGGGGCACCTGGAGCTCAGAGCCCTCGGTCGTGCGGGCTCTTCCTGGTCGTGTCGGCACTTACCGCTTCAGAGGGACACGTAGACACAAACCTTAGCAGCAACCAACCAAACCAAACAGAAACCGAGACAGCCCTGGTCGTGGGAATCTCGTCCACACTTGGTGAACGCATTTGGCTCTGGCTTGTCAATCACACTGGGAAGGCGGGGCAGGAGCGAGGGGACCAGCGCTCTGTGCTCACCGCCCAGGACGCAGGGGCTGTCGGGCACCGGCTCCCTCTCCGGGTCTCCTCTCACTCCGGGTTTCCGCCTACTACCTGCCCGACGTGGAGGTGATTCCTGGGGGGCAGGCCTGAGCGTCCTGCTTCCAGGTGGACCTCGGGGAGACCCCGGCTGACCGAACCCAGCTCCCAGCCTTCCCGAGTGGCCAGGGACCCGTTCTGGTGCCGAGTCCACGTCCATGCTGGGAAGGGAAAGTGAAGCACGTGGGGTAGCCCAGGGTCCCGGGCAGCTCACCCTCCCACCCCTGATGGGCGAGGGGTGGCGGGGGGCTCTGGGTCAGAACTGCCCAGGCTTTACCAGTCGTGCCAGCCTGTGTCATGGGCACGTGGCCAGGAAGCACGACGTGCCCAGAACAGACCGCAGGCGGCGCTCCAGTCCTGGCTCAGGAAGTGCCTGGATCACGTGTGAGGAGATAAGGCCACACTCAGCCAGGTAGCAGCGCTGGCCATTGTGTCCCCAGACAGATGCGTGCCGGCCACACCTGCTCTCGGGCAGTGGCTGGCCGGGTGCCCTCTAAGGGACACCAGCCAGGGAGAAGCTGCACGGAGACGTGGGGGGTCATTCCTCCCTCTCCCGAGGTGCCCGCCCCCCTCCACCTCCCGGCAGCTCAGTGGGTGCCCCCTTTCTGTTACGTGTTCCTGTCGCCTCTTTGAGCTCGAGGGGAGCCTGGTTGGCTGGGAGAGGAGCCAGCCTCCTCGTGCACCCCCAGAGGAGCGTCTCTGAGGGATGGTGTGACCTGGCATGCGGAGCCCTGACTAACCTCCTCTCTCTTCCTCCCGCAGGTGGATACCCTTCGCCATGTTATCAGCCAGACAGGAGGATACAGTGACGGACTGGCGGCCAGTCAGATGTACAGTCCCCAGGGCATCAGTGTAAGCACTCAAGTCCCCTCCATCCTCTCCCAGCCAATTAGTCCACAGCCACCGGCTCCCAGGGACACTCAGTGGGACCCATCTGAGCTGAGTTCCTCGCGTCTAGCGGTGACGCTGTCGGCAGCATTCTGCCCACAAAGCGGAGGTGCAGGGCGGGCATCGTGGCGGGCATCGGGGCTGCCAGACACAATCAGCGTTGGCAGGCACCTGCGGCCACATGCCTCTGCTGCAGGAGCAGCCGCACAGGTGACCGGCGCGGGGTGGGACGGGAGCAAAGCTGGGCACCAGTGTCCATGGCCTCAGGGGTGTGGTCCGAAGAGGAACCCTTTCTCCCATGGCCCATTGAAGAGGCGGGGTGTGCAGAGGGACGGGCGGGTGCTGAGCATCGTGCATGGGTCCTTGGGTCCCCGCGGCTCCCGACCAGCATGAAAATCCGTAGCGACAAGCTGTGTCGCACAGAGTGAAATCGATCAGACAGACACGGGAGAACCGAGTGTGGATTTGGGACAGCAATCCAACTCGATTTCTCAGATCAGTCGTCCGCTCCCTCACGGCGATGACAGCGGCTGGGACAGGACGGCTGCCCCTCGGCTGAGGTCCTGGGCCTGGAGCCCGAGGCGGGGCACTGCTGGCCGGGCCTGTGGTGGGCGGTGGGGACGGCTTTGTGGCTTCGTTGGGATGATCAGACTAAACTGGGGAAGGAAGGAAGGGAAAGTAGGCATGACCCGTCACCCCTGCTGTGCTGCCTGAGGTGTTTCGTCCGCCGTGGAGGTGACGGTCCCTCCATTCCTCGAAGGCCAGTGGCAAGAACTGCGGCCAGGGAACCCCGGCTTCTCCGTCAGAGGCGGCCTGGGCGAGAGGGCAGGGAGTCAGCCCGGACACAAGGAGAGCGAGGCGTGTGCTGGCTGGGACATCCTGGCCCCTGAGAGTCTGGCTCACCGCAAATGACCCACCCGCTGGGGCCGGCCCAGAGGCAGCACCCACGCCAAGGGGGGAAGTGCCGTCTCGGCCGGAGTTCAGAGCGGCAGGGTCAGAGCTGGCCTGGTGTGCTCGGGCAGCCGAAGACCCTGGTCCTCTGTGCTCACTCGAGTTGCTGTTCCCGTGGGAACGGGTGAGTCGCCGGTGCCCCCTAGAAACCACCGATCCTGTGGAGTGTGTGCTCAGAAATGGCTTCCAGGTGAGCTGAGTGGCTGTGGGGGGCTCCAGCCCATATGCATTCACCCACTTCCTGACAGACGTTTCCAGAAGGAGCTTTGCTGTGTGTGAGTGTGGAGCGAGAGCATGGCACGCTTACAGAGGGCCGAGGAGTCTGAGTGGCCGCAGGAAGCGGGGGACGGGGGGCAGCCCTCTCTCCCAAGCGGGGAGCAGGGCCTCGGACCAGAAGCAGCACCCCTTCCGACACCACCCTGTGGGCTGGGCACCGGTTCTGGAGTGTCGTAACCACACATGTGCAGACAGTCACGTCTGACGGCACAAGCCGCGCAGACACGGCTTCAAAGCACAGCGTGAAAGAGCCTCTCGCTGGCTCCACATGAACATGGTTATTGCTTCTGGGTCTTCAGTGTACGGGTGGGTAAGCAAAGGCCGGCCCGACAGGTGTGTTCCTTCTGTGTCAGCTTTAAATTTCGCCCCTGCGAGACCAAGTGTGTTAGGGTGAGGTGACTGTTAGTGGTGGATTGAGCTGGGATGTGTACATGTCCATGTGCCTGTATCCTTTTCGTGAACATGTGTGTGTTCATGTAATGTGCATGTCCTGTGTATGTTGTATGTATAAGTGTGTCTGTAGTGTGTGTGTTGTGTGTGTCCTTGTGTGCATGTTGTGTGTGTCCTTGTGTATGTGTCATTGTGTGTATGCATGTGTTGTGTGTGTGTCCTTGTGTGTGTTTGTGTGTGTGCACGCATTGTGTGAATGTGTCCTTATGTGTCTGTGTTGTGTGTATGTTGTATGAGCGTCTGCATTGAGTGCATGAATATCTTGTGTGTGTCCTTGTGTGTGTGTGTGTGTGTGTGTGTGGTGTGTATCCTTTGTATGTGTCCATGTGTTGTGTGTGTTCTTGTGTGTGTTGGGTGTCCTTGTGTGTGTGCACGTGTGTTGTGTGTGAGTATATGTGTTGCATGTGTGCATGCGTTGTGTGAGAGTGTGTGCACTGTGTGTGTGTGGGTGGGTGGGTGGGTGGGTGTGTGTGTGCATGGGCTGAGGTGCCAGGAGAAGGGAGAGAGACAGAAGGAGGGGATCAGAAGAGACAGGACAGGAATGGGAGGTTCCAGCCAGAACTGAATGAACGCCCACAGCCAGCAGCCCAGCTGGGCCTGGCGTGTTTCCTCTGAGCTGGACATTCTCTGGGCAGCTCCTCGCCCCCCCGGCCATCCCGCAGCCCCCGTGTGTCACCGCAGCGTCCATGAAACCCGTGAGCCACACACCTGCTGTAGTGAGGCTGAGGAGCAAGGGGGCCTGCGGGCGGCCCGCAGTGTGTCCAGGGAGGCGAGGAGTGTTCCCAGGAGATGGTTCCACTGTGATGCTCCCGAGCTGCCCGCAGCCAGAGACTGTGGTGGGCGTCCCGGCCCCTGGGTGCCGTCGGCAGCATCACAGGGATAGCGTGCTCATCGGCCTCTTCTCGGGGGCACGGGTGGATGTTACCCGGAGGTGCTGAGGGGGTCACTGACCGTTCTGAGGGAGGTGTGCTTCGAGGGATGGAGCTTCCTCAGCACGTGATGGGACATGACTGCTGTGTCCCAGGACAAGAGCGACTGTGCTGGGTGGGCGTGGCGGGGAGTCAGGGGCAAGAGTCCAGGCGCCTGCCACTCACACGCCCTCTCCGGTCCCGTCACCCCGAGGTCAGAGCAGTGTAGCTGGATTGTTGTGCATCTTCTGTCCTGTCCCTGCCTCTCGCTGCTGTCTCCGACAGCCCTGACCTCTGCCTTCCCCGCCCAAAGTCCTGCGCCGCCGCCACTCCGTGGCCGCCTCCGCGCGTCCAGCCTGGGACCCCCGCGTCCCCCGCCTGGCCATTGCCTCCGGCCCAGCGACCGGGGTGCTGGTCAGTGTGGCCAGCTCCCCCCTCGGGATGTAATGGCCGGCGGCTCCTCCATTCAGTGTGCAGTGTGCAGTGCTGCCGTTTATCTGTGTTTACTAATCCACAGTGTTCTCTTCACAATTGTAAAAGGCTCTTCCATCCTGTTTCTGTAGGAGGTTTCTCAGCTTTCTGGCCAGTGCATGTTCCATGGGAGGGGAGTGACCGTGTGGCCCAGAGGGCCCTCCCTGGAGCCTCGGCTCCTCCTGTCCCAGAGCGGCCTGTGGGCTCCACCAGGTAGCCACATGGAGGCGTTTCCCACAGGCAGTCGCGTCCCCCCCGCCAGGCCGGGCCTGGAACTGCCCCGGGGACAGGGCCACGTCAGTTGTGCTGAGCAGGTCGGTCCTGCCTTCCGCTCTACAAAGAGGAAACTCACCCCTCCAGAGGGCAGCTCGGGCTCGGGGTGGCCCGCACGTGGCCTGGCCCTCCACACTCAGGAAACATGAGCGAATGGACCCCCTGGCGTTAGTGGGGCCGTCAGCGCTGGTTCCCGAAGAGACCTCTCGCCTCCTCGGAAGGAGGACCTCCTCCCCCAAGCTTGGCTTTGGATACGATAATGGAGCTCTCTCTTAGGAGAAGTCAGGCATTGTTTTTAAATTCGGTGCATTTCTGAAACTCTGCTCATCTCTGGTGTCATTTGAATTGGGGACAATTCTTTTCCACGTTCCTGTACACACTGTCCATCTGATAGAGAAGAAGCAGAAGGCAGGACCAACCTGCATCTGGGACAAGTACCAGAGGAGGAAGGAAGTGAAGAGATGCCTGTTCATCCCAGTGCTCCCTGAGGGCCTGGCTGTGGCACCCGGAGCGGGTGCTCCCTGAGGGCCTGGCTGTGGCACCCGGAGCGGGTGCTCCCTGGGGGCCTGGCTGTGGCACCCGGAGCGGGTGCTCCCTGGGGGCCTGGCTGTGGCACCCGGAGTGGGTGCTCCCTGAGGGCCTGGCTGCAGATTCAGTTCATGGTCAAGGGCGCATACCTCAGTTGCAGCCTCCATCCCGGCCCCACTTGGGGTGTGTGCAGGAGGCAACCAATCAATGTGTGTCTCTCTCACATGATGTTTTCCTCTCTCTTTCTCTCTTCCCCCTTCCCTCTTTCCCCCTCCCTCCCTTCTTCCACTGTCTCTAAAAAAAACAATGGATTCGGGTGAGGATTAACCAAATACAACAACAAAAATTCTCGGGACAGCCAAATGGGGGAAGAGGCCAGTTTTGCCTGTTTACTAGCCCAGACGGTGTTGAAGAGGCTCTGGAGGCAGCAGGCACTGTCGCAGCCGGGCAGGACTGCCATCCTGCGCCCATTGTCAGCTCTCACACAGAGCTTCTTCACCGAGTGAGCGTTACTGCGACGGGCTGCACAGATAACACATGTGAACCAGCTTAGGCAGAGAAATAGGAAATAGAAAAGCCATGGCGAAAAGTAATTGTAAAAGAGCCAGGAAATAAGAGACATAGAGAAGTAGGAAGAAATAATGTGCTGTTAAAGGACAAGCCGGTGGAAGGATGGAGATGGCAGGGGAACAATAGAGTGCCAGGGACGTGGCAAGAGGAAGTACACACATACTGAGAGAACAACTCAAACAGAAGACAGCGAGGGCGAGTGGCTAGAATCACAGCCTCTAAGAACATGCTTACAGAAATTATAAAACAGATCGAGTAGTCATAAACGGAGCAAGTGCCGTAAAGCAGGAAATTAAAGAACAATTAAAAACAATATGGGCAGAAAATTAACAGACTATAACGATGTTTAATAATTGCATTAATAACTAACACTTATTGGCTTAGTCCCCTGTGCTAGGCAGTTTATATGCGTTAACTTATGTAATTCAAGTTTATTAACACAATTAGGTTGGTTTTAAAATGTAAACAAGGAAGTTAAGAGGCATCAGAACAATCACAAGACTGAAGGTGAGTGAGACAGACCTGCCAACGGGGCTT